CATCAAATCAATGTGTGAGGTTAAGAAAATAAAAAATATACTCAAAATATATTAATTATTTTTGCGTAAATTAAAAGGAACTAAACCCTAAGAATGGACAGGCTTAACCCTAACGGAAGCCTTAACCCTATCAAACAAAACAAAACAATTGTTCGATTCAGCTTAGCTATAGTGAAATTTAGTTCGTATATGCAGTGTTCGGGTTGTTTTGGCGGGTGGTTTTATACACACTTCGCACTTCTTCTTAAAAGAAAAAACTATACCGTAAGAGTGGAGAGCCTTAATCCTAACAAATCAAACCAAACTATGGTTAGATTTAGCTCAACTATAATGAAATCTAACTCGTATATGTAGTGTTCGATTAGTTTTGACTTGTTGCTTTATACTCACTATTTTAAATTGATTTCGAATAATAATATTTAAATTATATGATCTCTTATCACTATTTTAAATTGATTTTGAATAATATTTAGTTCTCAAAAATAAGTTTTCAGTCATAGTTATATAATTTATACATATACCATTTATATTTTTAGCAAATTAAAAATTCATCAAATCAATAAAAAAATATATCAAACCTTTTTTTGTGTGCAAATTAAAAGAAACTAAACCCTAAAAATGGGGAACCTTAACCCTGATAAACTAAACAAAACTGTGTTTCGATGCAACTCAATTATAGTGAAATCTAGTTATAATAATAATAATGTTAAATATTCAAGATTAAAGCATATTGAAAAACATCGTTTGAAAATTAAGTTAAAGCAGAAATTTTATTCATTAAAGTATTAAGTAACTTAATTAGAAAAACAAACCATAATGCTTTTAAATCGACTATTTCTATTTATTTATCTTTAGATTTTTTTCTCTCTCTAAATAATAAAATATCAAAATAGTATTTAAGCTTCTTAATGTTTACTTTTTTACATTTCCAAAAATAAAAGAGGCTTCCGTCGCAATTCCGAAATGGAATGGGATGTTTCCACGACGCTTTTAGATTGGTAATTTATGAAATCACGTTTTCACAACGCTTGAAGAAATTTCGATTTTGATTTCGGAGCGTAAAACGTTATCAATAGAGTTTCCATGTAGTAAGAGAGTCAAATATTCTGAATTATCACAATTCTTCAACAATGCTTAAAAAACTGAGCACATAATGTGATAAGTTCCACACTCTCAAGTCTCAACTTAAAGAAAAATGACTACAGGAACCACGATGATCTGAGGCTCGCGAGTCATAGTCTAAGTCATATTACACGAAGTTAAGCAATCATTAAATAACTATTTTCAATCGCATGGTAAAATTATAATTCGACAGAAACAAAAAAAAGAAGACAAACTTTAAGCCGAAGCAATTGTGTGTCTCCTCCTCGTGACCACCTAGTTTATCATTTTGTTCTCCACATACTAAAATCCCAAATCATCTAAATAGCCGTTGCTAATTTTCAAAACCCTTTCTAAATGATATATATAATAAGATATTACACGCCAAAATATAAAAGTTTGGAATATAGTTTACCCCCCCATGTGGTAAGTTTGTCCTGTTCTATTCAAAAGATTCACTTGATCCAATGATTTTTCCATTTTAATAATAATGTAACTCGAACATTTGTTTTATTTTGCTCGTATCGTATTCTTAAATCTCTAATCAAACATAATTAAATCCTAGAGATCGATCGTCTACAAAACTTATCATCGCAGTTAACAACAACAACAAAAAGCTACATTTTAAAACTATAGAGATCTCATAACCATTTTCTTTATTATATATGTTTGTAAAAGAATATTATAATACGGAGAAAACAAGAAAATAAAAGAAAAATGGTTTATTATTATTATTGTTCAGGAATAGAAACCAGGACTGGTCGCCAAGGTTTTCTCAAAATCCTTAACCGAAATGATTGAACCGAACCGGAATAACCCAATCGCCGAGACGTTAACTCTCTGCCGTTACCGTTCGAATTAACGGAGCCGACGATTACCGGCGAAAGCACGCTTCTCGCTTCTACACCGTCGTCTATCTCATCTCCACCTTTAAACGGCGATGTGACCAAGAGCTCTTTCAATTCACGCCTACCACGGTGGTTTCCCCTCTTCTTTTTCCCGGAATTCCCATCCGATTCCGAAGATTCCTCGAGGATCTGACGGAGATTCCGTCTGCGACTGTCGGAGCTCTTATCGAATAGCATCCGCAGGGTTTTCCGTCGCCGGAGATGAAATACAGGGCTCTTCGTCGGACTCATCGCGGGGTTTCCGCCGGCGGATGCCTCCAAGCTACGATTTGCAGCGAAGAGCTTGAATTTGTGCAGACGGGAGAGTGACATGGCGAAATCCAACGGTGGATCTAGAGGATTGCGAATTCGCCGTCCGATCGCTCCTCAACCCTTTACTTTTTTTGTTTTGTTTTTGCTGTCACGTGTATAGAAGAAGATGCGAGAAGTTAGCATTTATACAATCATTTTAAAATAATAACAATTACTAATAGATTTATTTATCTGTATTATTTTGGTAAACCCTTTATAACAAAAAATAAAATAAAAAAAGACTATGCGTTTCCTTTGTAGAAATATTTGAAAGGGTTATTAGTAGCTTTGCTAGTTGATTGATAAATAATTAGTTGTTTACTTGGTTTTGGTTGGATAAGTATATTTCGTACAATCGTACGCCTTAATAAAATCGCTGATTTATATATATCTAATATAATATTTTAAAATTTCGTGAAACTTTGAAAAACTACCATGTATCATTTTTGGTGTTAACAATTTTTCATTTTTAGTATTTTATTTTTATTTAAGTTTGACATTTGTCTCTCTAAATTTTAGAATTTTTACATTGTTTTCCTTTTCTTTTTTTTCTTTTTTTAAAAAGCTTCAAATTTCACTTAAGTTTGACATTTGTCTCTTTAGATTTTATCTTTTTTCATCTTTTTCTCTTTTTTCCTCCTTTTCTCTTTCTCTTTCGTGAAAAAAAAAACCGAAATCT